ATCTAAAGGCAGTGAATTCTGGGAAAACCTCTCAAGGGGGTGGCCATGGCAACTGTATTTATCATCTACTGGAAATGAGCGTAGAAAACACTTGAAAGATTCCCCAACAGAAAGAGGAAACTTTAGACCTACTTAAGAATTTGTGAGACCCTTCTGGCAGCAATACTTGCGGGTCCCTTGGAGCTCAGGATGAAACTCCTCATTTAGAATCTAAGAATTCCCCCAGTGTCCAGCACAGCAAACACCCTCAGGGCTTTTGTAGCAGCTGGGGAAAGGAGCAGGCTGCTTTCTGAGCAGCCTCTACTGAGGAGAAGGTAGAAACTGAGCTCCCCTGGGCTCTCCAGGGAAACTTCATCTTCCAGTTTCCCCACAGAAATAGGCAACTAGGCTCGAGAGTCACAGAAAGGCAAATTTAGGACCAGCTTACTGAGGCAGAGGCTTGCAGGCCTCTCGGAAGGGCTTCAGCGCTATCGCTTGGCTGCTGGACAGTGGCTTCCAATCTGCTCTTTCCACTTGCAGAGCTTAAGAAGAAATACAGGTCTTATTGCCAGAAAATCCAATGCCAGACAAACTATGCTAAGGAACAGAATCCACAGCAGAAGTGACCTTCAAAATCCCACTGACTCTCCCCTTGTTTCCACCCAATGCCCCAAAGCCACAGACCCCTCGCTTCATGGGTTACTCTCTTACTGTTGCGCGTCTTCTTCCAGTTGTTTAAGAGTGGTATTAGTCTCGGAAGATGCCAACGGGAGGTCCTGCATTTTCTGGGAAGAAGTTGTTGCTTCTCTTCCCTTGTCATCCAAAGCAGTCTTCGAGTCACCAACACAATGCTCGGACTGAAGATGCTTTTCTTCCTCCTCCCGCAGCTGTAAAATCACGGGAAGAATGCACAGTTGTCAGGGGAGCTTTTCCAGAGAGGAGCCAGCTGCTGCTGAGGAACTCAGGGGCTGCATGTCTGTGTGCATCCCCTCTGCCCAAAGAACTGCAATCCATTCAAGTCCCTTCAAAGCTTCACTTCTCCTCCCCAATGAACACAAGCTGGATGCCTTTGTCCTCTTTTACAGCAGCCTCTCCCATCCCTCCACTGCTTTCCTACAGCTCAGTTCTGAGCACTGACACTGCCCCTCCGACCTGTTTTGTGACCTGGGACGTTTCATGTATTCCCTTGTTTGCTACCCCAGGAAAAGATGAGGGAAATAGTTCATCCCCCTAAAGGAAGGCGTCTGGCAAGTGTCAGAGGCCAAGTGCTCTGGCACATGTGCTCTGGAGCCCAGGATTGCACCAGGGGAGCATGGGGAGTTTTCTGAAGTGGGAAAGACCCGCACTGTAGTGCAGAGAGAGGCGCCCAGCAGCCCCTGAGCAGGAAGCAGGGGATGCCTGAGGAGAGGCAGCTCTGCTTCAGTGTGGTGGGGCCAGGAAGGGTGGCATCACTGACAAGCTGATGAGCACCATTTCAGCAAAGGCAGCCAGGTGAACTGCTCCCCAGACCTGCCCTGCAGTGGAGAATGGCACCAGGGCTGCGTGGGGAGTCTTCTTAAAGCAGGAAGACCTGGAGTGTAGCAGAGAGAGAGGAGCCCCAGCCCCCCTGAGCGGTAAGGGGTGAAACCCTAAGGAGAGGCAGCTCTGCCTCAGCAGGGCGGGTTGTGGGGCAGGGGGCCGGAGGGACAGAGGCAGATCAAAGCCCGATGGAACTGCTGCTTCCTTAGGTCTCTGTCATAGTGACTCCCAGAATATTGTTTGGTCTGTTTCCATGATGGAGAGGAAGCAACAGGCACCCCCAGGTTTATCCCTGTGGGGACAGGCTTTCCATACCTCCGCGTCAGCCCTGTCCAGCTCCTCCTGCAAGCGCAGATTGTCTTCCTCCAGGTGAGCCTCATGGGTTCCAGGAACCACAAGAACAGTCCTAAAGCATCCAAAATTTCATCTGAGACATGTCTGATCCTGCCTCATTTTTCCCCTGCTTGCTCCCAAAAGAGCTCTTCCCCCCTTTCCTACAAGCTCCGTGAAAGCAAAGCCAAGTCCATGGAAGCATTGGAGAATTTCTCTTCGAAGGGGCCTCCCCAAAGCAGCCTCAGCTACGAGGTCAGGCCGTGCTGTTCAGGGCTCCTTGCACTGCTCTTCCAAGTCCCCACAGATGCAGCTGCACAAACTCCCGGGGCGAGCCCTTCGACCGCCTGAGCATCTCCAGGGCAGGAAGTTTTCTCCTTCTGTGCTCTCGGAGCCCCTCGTGTCCCCTGGGACAGTGCTGCTTCTCTTTCCCCCAACGCTCCCCTTCAGAGCACTTAAGGCACCAACTCTGCCTTGGCTTAAAGCTCCCTGGCCTGCAGAGCAGCCACGCTGCTGAGCTACTGGCAAGTTTCCCCATGGCTCTGGCTCTGTGTGGGGAGAGGGCACCACAGACAAGGCTTTCTTGCAGACCTCAGCGGGCAAAGGACGAGAGCCCCGAAGGTAGGAGAGCAGCCAAGTGCAGACCTGCATTTACCAGTCCCACAGGGAACTGCTTCCACGGGGCTCCTCCTTCCTTTTCCAAGCTCATTGCCACAGCCCTCGTCTGGGTCACACTTGCAGACTACCCAGAAGACCCGTGGGCTGTTTTGACAAAGCCCTCACCTTTCCCCCTGGGCTTGAGCCTGCCTGTCAGCTGCTTTTTTCAGAAGGCACTCCATCTCCTCATGCTGTTGGAAGGCTGCAAGTTTGAAGGGGGTAAATCCCCACTGAAAGGAGAAAGAATCCCCATTAGAAAGACACAGACAAGCTGTGCAGCTGTTGCAAAGAGCAGCTTTAGCCACATGCCAAGGTTACCTGGTTCTGAGCATCACTCTGGGCATGATGCTCCAGTAACAGCCCTGCCACAGCTGTGTTTTTAGAGAGGACAGCCAGGTGAAGGGCAGTGTTGCCGTCAGCGTCTGCCAGATTGGGGTCGGCACCGTGTGCCAGCAGAAGAGCAACACATTCTTCCTGCTCCTGCTGGACTGCCTGGGAACAACACAGGAAAAGGGAAAGATTCCAACTTTTACATCCCCCTCTGTCACAACTCCCTCAGCTCCTGAATGCTGCCATAGAAGACCATCTGCAAAGATTAGCTCACAGAGGCCTGTGCCGTGCCCATTGCAATGGGCGTGTTTCTATGGCCCTGCCCTGCAAGGAATCCTGCCAGACACCTCCCCTTTAACACACCAGCACTGAGCCCCACCGACAAGCTCCCAAGGCATTCCACACACCTTCATCAGGGCCGTTCTCTTGAAGCTGTCAGCGAGGTTGGGCTGGCTGTTCTTTCTTAGCAGATATCTAACGACATCTGCATGGCCATTGGCCGAAGCCAGATGCAGAGGTGTCCTAAAAATTAAACAGACGCTCTTAACCCAGACAGACAAAGGACGAGCCCAAGCTGTGTCTCTACCCAGCACCCTGGGGACCCTGCCCGGACTCTGCTCCTCCCGCTTGCTGCTGCTGCTGCTGCTGCTGCTGCTGCTGCTGCTGGTGCTGCTGCTACAACCCTGCCCTGATCAGCCCGAGGGCAGAAGAGAAGAGGTGAGGGCTGAGCAGCTGCAGAACAGCCCTGCAGAGAGACCACGGCCAAGCGGCAGGTGGGCAACAGGCGTTTCCAACAGCGCTGGAGCCCGGCCGGCAGCTCCAAGCAGTGAAAAGCTCAAGAGTTCCCTCTCCCAGCTGACAGGGCAAATGTCACTTTTCAAGCCTTGTCCTTAAGAGAGGGCTGCCCAGGACTACTGCAGCTTGGCTCAGGAGCAGCCCAGGGGTGCCATCAGCGTGGCCCAGAACTCACCGCATCTCCTGGTCTGGCCTGTCGATGCCGACTACCTTGACGTACCAGCGCCAGCGCCTCAGCCAGCCCAGGTCGCCGCGGGCGGCCGCGCGGTGCAGCCTGCCCAGCCCCTGCTCCCGGAGCTGGGAGGTGCTGCTGGAGCTGGTGGCAGCCCAGGGCTGCCCGCTGGTGCTGCCGGATGGCGACTGCCGTCGCTTCTTGCTCAGAAGCCACGGCATGGCCCTGCTTGCAGCTCCCAGCAGCAGGAAGGGCAAGAAGCCCCCGGCGGGCTGCCGGGTGCAGAGTAGGGGTGAGGAATGGGACAAGGGTGAGGTTTAGGGTGAGGGTGACAAAGGGGACAAGGGTGAGAATAAGGACGGGCACAGGGTATGAAGCACAAGGCGGACGAGGTCGCCCTGTGCAGTGGTCGTGGCCTGCAGCTGCCAAGACGGCGATCCAGGCGCGCAACGAACGCTCCCCGAGCGGGATGTGCTGCTGCTCCCCGAGAGGCTCCAGCAGCTCTGAGCGCCGGCTGCGGGCACCAACAAAGCCGTGCCCGACTGGCGCCTGTGACATCACAATGGCTGGGGGAAGGCTCAGCACGTCAGCGTGGGCTGTGACAGAGGCCACGGTGCAGGTGGGGCCGGGCGGGACATGGCAGGGCGGGGCAGGTGTGAGGGCGGCCCTGCTGGGCCTGGGGGGAAGGAGGCGGCCTGGGCCTTGTGAGGGTGGCGGTCACATGTCCTCCAGAGGCTTTCTAAGGAGGCATTTTGCTTTGAAATAAACAGATTTGACTGCTTGCCAACTGGCTGCTGGGTCCTGTCTTTTCTATTATATTAATATACCACACCAGGACAATTCCCCAACTCCTTTGTCTTGTCCCTCTTGAAGAGCAGACACCTCACCCCCCTCCCCCTCGCAACTGCTCTCACCTGCTGCTTTGCCAGATGCCAACAGTGAATTTCTGCTCTGCTGCTCCACCAGCCAACGGGCAGCACACAGCAGGGCAGGAAGAAACTTTCAAACACATCTTGTCCCACTTTGTCCCAATGACAACACCAAGTGAAGGCCCAGAGGTTCTGCACCAGCTTGCTCAGGGGAGGGACACAAACAGGCTGGAGAAATTTCTCTTTTCCTTTGCGGGTGTATCAGGGTTGTATCAGATGTTGATACTTTTGGTCTGTGTTTGGCCCAGTCACCTGGGGGAGTCTCTCCTTTTCCTGCCAAGTTAGGAGAAAACAAGCATTGATAAATGGGAACTTGGTCCTTGAAGGAAGCGTTTTGTACAAACCACAATGAATTGGTGTCTTATTATTGCCTGGTCACCTTCCAAGGGCATTTGAAGAAGAAAGTGAAGAGGAGGGTGAGGAAGTACGCCCCCAGACTCATTTAGAAAAGACCCTCTGAAGTACAGAGAAGACTGGGAGAGGGAGAGGCCAAGGCAAGGAGTTTTGGGATCACAGCCCCGATTCCACCCTGCAGCAGAGCTGCTCTCCTGCAGACAGGAGCATCCTCATCCCTGAGGCCACGCCCATGGCATCGGGGCCTCACCTTGGCATCTGCCGGGGGGCTCAGCAGGATGGTGAAGAGCAGGGCCACGCTGAGCACAGCGACCTTCATCTTCCTCTGGGCCTGGGCAGCGCTGGCTGAGGCTGCACAAGGGCAGGAGCACATTTATCCCTGCCGGGACTCCTCCCTGCCCCCTCCCCGAGAGCCCCCGGGGCAAAGCCCGGCTGGGCACAGCCCCCAGCCCTGGCCACCAGCCCAGCCCTGGCACAGAGTCCATCCCGCCTGCGGCACCCATCCAGCCACCTTCCCCGGCATCCCTCCAGCTTCCTGCACAGGGCAGCTGCCCCTGGAAGGGCCCAGGCACCTGGGGGTGCCAAGGGGGTGGGCAGGGAGCTGAAAGCAGCTGCAGACCCTGTGGGGACAATCCCACAACAACACAATCCATCCTCCAACCGCCCCCAAAGCCTGATCCACCCGTGTCCTCCTGCCCAACCCTGCCCACAGCTTTCCCTCTGGGACACCCCAGAGCAGACCCAGGCCACAGACCAGCACACAAGATCACACACAGCCTTGCCAGGAGCAGTCAGTGCAGGGAATGCAGAAGCAGACAAACTTGCAGCCCACACAGTATTGCCAGACCAACTCGCACAAGCTCGCATCTCCCATGATTTTTATCCGAGTTTGAAAAACCTTTTGTTTGGGGTAGTAATGGTTTGCCCCACTGATAGTACTGGACCAAAGGTTCACGTGCGCCCTTACGGAAATTCCACCCCACAGAAAGGGAAGAGAAGGGGGTGAAGATAGTGTAGAAGGTAGGTAGCCATGGTTTGAGCCAGGAGGAAGCAGGGGGCCAGTGGTCTACTCTGGCCTCCAATCGGGAGGCCTGGAGACAGACCATCTATAACGCTGCTGATGCCTTTGAGAAAGCTCCAGGATCACCCTTGAGGAGAAAAGACAACGCAGAAAGAATCGAGCCTTGCAGAATATACCACCTAAGGAGTCTTTCTGCTGTGCCTTTTGCAACCGGACATGCCTATCTCGTATTGGCCTTTTTAGTGCTTGCAAGAAACGTGGGTAGAGCCCTTCCCAAATCCTCGTCCGGCCGTGACAACTGCCGTCATCCCTCGCTGCCCCATTGAGCCCTCTTATAGCGGCTCTTGCAGCCCCCCTAAGTTCCCCCCAGCCCCCAAATGCCACCCAGGTGCTCCCCTCAGGCCTCCAAATACCCCATAATTGCCTCATAATCGCTCCTCTAGGCCCTCAACTGCCCCCTAAGCGTCCCCTTGAACCCCCAACCCCCCCTCATTGAGCCCTGTTAGAACGCCCCTTCCTGGACTACAACTCCCGTCATGCCCCGCGCCGCCCATAGAGCCCCATTGCGGCTCCCTCGCCTGCCGAACTACAACTCCCGTGATGCCCCGCG